TAACTGTAACTTGTTACTTTTAAAAAGTAACTTTCCATTCCCTGGCTTTTATCATGCATTTTTTCTATTTAAAAATGCGAAGCTTTTTTATTGAAAAGATTAATAAGTAGAAATATAAATTTATATTATTTCAACAAATTTACGAAATGTATAATTTGGAGTTTTTCCTATAATGACTTAATATTAAATCGAATTTATTACGGAAGTTAACGTAACATAAGTCAAGTCAAAAATTAAAAACGAATTAAAAAAAATTTATTATACAGGGTGGGGAAAAAGTATGGAAGCAAACAATTATTTCCGAAACTATTCATTTTAATAAGCACCAGGGATTGTAACTTTGCAAGTAAAAAAAGATGTTGAAAAATCGTTTATAAATTCTATTTCTTTGTTTCTCTTTATAAAAGAAGTAGATGTCAGTAGTTGCTAGGGAATTAGTAACTGATGGTAAGTGATAAGTTTCAGTCGATAACAGATAAAAAATTTCTCTTTATTATTTTTTGTACTGCTACCGTACAGTTACGCCGTACACCGCCACCTCGTGGCAGTACAGTAACAGTACGGTAGCGGTATCTTGTGCGGGTATCGCACGCTTGTCTATCTGGGTATTTCGATGCGAGATTTTATTATAAAATATATAGAAAATTTTGCATTGTGAATTTAACGTTAATTAAAAGTAAATTACTTTTAAATGTAATTACATTTACATACTTTTTTTTTGTAAAATTTATCACATACATATGTAATGATTTCATAGAATATAAACTACTTGAAAGAGAAAAAAACTGAGGAAAATAAAAGCCATTAGCATTTAACGTTTCAAATATATTTAATTTTTTAATTATACAATTTATATAACACATGTACAAAAAATTTGCAGAGTTCATTTATTTACATATTTACACATTAATAATCTCCAAAAGGTGTAATATTATAGTAATATTATAAAAGGAATTTCTTCTTTTCTGTACAATTATATGGTATCCATATCGCAGTCTGTATATTTGGTATCATCTTTCATATTGTAGAGCGACTTTTGCGAGACAGGTGCTCGATCACCGAGGTACGTCCTGAATTGTTCATAATAACTGACTAATTCATGAATTTTGTCACTGATATCTGGGCATGCAATGCCGCTTTCAATTATATGACTCAGCCTATCACTATTATCCGCACAGATCGAAAATTGTTCTATGAGCTGTAATTCCTCCTTCAATGTCGCGTTCAACACAGCTGCCTGAAAGAAACCGTGAGTTATATAATGCTTAAATGCCGCGGCATTTACATATAGCGAAAATAGCGAAGATATTTTTTTTAGTGATGATTAAAACTATGATATGTACTCGTCTTGCTCTCTGCTGGAATTCTTCCAATTTTCCACGTATATTCTCAAACTCCACTTCTGTGTACTGTGTCTCTTGAAGTTTATCCTCATTCGCCAAAACATTGTCGGGTACAGTAACAAATTTTCTCACAATATTCTGACCAGAATAAAATAAGCGATTAATGTCATATGTACAATTTTTATTATAGTTTTAACAGATATATTTTAAATAAAAAAACAGGCATAATATAATTAATTATAAGTGGATATAGATTGTTTAGTTCAAACATAATTACCTCTATGTTTTTCAAATGAGGTACAGAAGCTGCATGGTACGCCTTTACAAGTTTTTCCTCGTTTGCCTTTAGCGTGGCCAAATCAGAGTCTGATTTACACTTTTTTTCCAATGTTTCACACAATTTTCTGCTCCTAGACTGTATCCTTTCTATCACAATATTCTCGACTATAACAGACCAAAGAGAAAGTAACAAGATTACCATGAGCAGCCATGCATAATTATTCATAAATTAGAAACATGTAGTTGGACTAATGATCATACGAGAATGCTCGCAACAGTATTTTTATTCACATATAAAGTGAACAAAATAATAATCTAAAACTAGATTTATACCAAAGCTATTACCAAATTAAAAAAAAATTTCAATCTTTATTCTCAAGTAGGATTAAGGATTGACATTTTGCTTCTCTTCTTTCAGTAAATTTTCCAAATGTAAGGAGTTATACAGCAATTACAGTTGTATAATACGATTTGATGATTCACAAAAGCAGAAAAAATCCAAAATAAAAAACCAAAATTATACAAGCATATCATGGAAATTAAGAGTAAAAAAGGATTGGCGAAATAAAGAACGCGTTTATCGGGACGCTTTTCACCAGCAATTGGCGTCTTTCGCCAATCGGCATCGTTTATAAAAGCAAGCTTTTGCGTTCGCGT